CCAGCGTAAGTCTTATTAAAAGGAACGGTTAACAAGTCAATTTTCAAAATGCATTCTGCTTTTCATTAAAAATGCTGTTGTCACACAAACTCTGAAACAATCTCAGACACTTTACCTCACAAGTACCTCCAGATAGTACTTTGATCCTCACAACAAAGAGAGACGCTCTGAACAAATAACCAAGCAGAACTGAAGTCTGGTTCAGCAAAGAGCACAAGCTTTGCCATATTAGAGGAGAAGGTTTCTGGTAGCATGTACGGATACACCTTGTTCTGTTCTGCTAAAATCTGCCTCTTCATGCTACAGTAGCCTCTGCCTGCTCATCATGTAGGGGCCTTGTTCTGAGGCATCTCCAGAGATAAGTGTTTTAACATTTTTACAAAATGCCATTCACGCTTCGCTCACAGAGCTGTAAGGAACACACGTTATGCCTATGCGTATTGCTCCCCGACCATATGACAGCTAGAACCAACACATGCCTTCTGCTCTAGCACTACATCTAGCTAAAGTAGCTAAAATTTGCTTAGGATTAAAAAGTTTTGAGCCCAATTCTCTGTAAGTCCCTATGAGGAGAGGTTAAAAGCTTAAATGTGTCTTTCAGGCAACAGAACACATGAAAGAGCATCAGAAAAACGCTGTAGTTGTAAGTTAAAACACAGTTTTTTACTTAACAGACAAACTGGAAACATTACTAGACATTCTTGAGATGATGTCCAGTGAGTTGATGCCTCTGTCTCTGTACGCACCATCTCCCCTGGATGCACTGCAGTCACCATCACTAGACACCCCAACACCACATTTTTCAGGCAGTACTATATCTCATTTGTGTTTGCAACCAAGTGCCTATCTGAGTAGGGCTCTAGTAACAGTGGCTTGGTCTTGCAAAAGGTTCTGTAAAAGCTGCCAAAGCCATTTTAATAAGTTTGCTGGCATCATTCAGAAGCTTCTGGCAAGAGCAATTAAAGGCTCAAGAGACAGACCAACTTTGTTTTTCTGAATTATCTCATGATTTGTGTAATATGGGCTCAAAACTTCTAGATCTTGAACTCAGCCAATACAATATACTTACAGCAAGGAGGCAGAACAGCTTGAGCAAGCTATCAGGTGAGGCTGTAACATGTGTTTCCTCCTTCTGGACAACACTGGCTTGTTTCTAGCCTCTAGCAGACTCTCAAGGAGCCATTCAAAGAATTCACCTGGATTCACACTTCAGCTACTCATTCCTGTGAGTCTCGCTTTCCTTTCACTATCTTATGTCTTGGAAACAGAGGTTAGCTGTCTCCTTTCTTCATCTACCCTGCTATCAAATACACACATTGATCATATGACAACTAAAATTCATACACATGAAGCCACTTAATATGTAATCAGTCACATCTAACTCAGGAGCAGATGTCTTCCAGAATGAGACCTTCATCTGATCAAAATAATTTTTGTTGGGGAAACATTTTAAAGCAACACTACAAAAATGACTGGTTTTTTTACTAAGTCCCAGGAGTCACAAGTTGGGTATTCTCTCCCTCAGTTTTCTATGTCTATCATAGAAATGGTATCATGCCCCATCCCTGGAATATGCCCCGTACCTGGAAGTGTTCAAGAACAGGTTAGACGGGGCTTTGTGGAAGCCCCACTGGTCTAGTGGAAGGTGTCCCTGCCTATGGCAGGAAGGTTGGATCTAGATGATCTTTAAGGTACTTTTCAACCCAAACCATTCCATGATTCTACGACTGAGCAACCATCCATCCACAGCAAACAAGGGGAGACTGTAAAGGGAGCATCAAGCCATTATAGCCTGAAGGTCTGTCTCATGGCAGATGAATCTAACTAATAGTATCTCTCATATAACTACATGGAAGACCTACATCCTTCTGTTAAGGAGGAAGCTGAAGTTCACTGCTGCTATTTCTGATCCTGAAGGCAACACACAGTATTAAGAAAGTTGGAGACAATGCCCTTCTTCAGATTGTGATAAAGTTAATTAGTATACCATGACAAAGGTTGTGTCAGCATGTGAGACGAAGGGCAGACTCGTTTTCAAGTCTGGCTGATTGTGTAGCTCACAACGCTTCACCAAAAGACACGTGCTACAAATCACATTTAATGTAATTTAATTTTCCCATATATTACACTGTATTTTAAGACTAATTATTTTACTACCAGATCAAATGAAACACATCAGAAGTTCTAAAGATGCGCACTACAGGCTGGTTATCTTGACTACCCAACAAATGTTAATTTCAG